CCCCAGTTTAACTACCTAGGGGGTCAATTGTCGGGAAGTCAATTGTCAGGGGGTCAATTGTCGCGGTACCTATTTAAACATCCAGTTCTTTGTCCTCAAGAAATAATTTCTCGGTCGGTTGACGAAGGTTTTGACTTAATCTGAAGAACAGAAATATGTTCATATTTTCATCAGCTGCTATGAAGATATCATGAACACTATCTTAATAACAAGTGAAATATGATCTCTTTTGTAAGCATATTGTCCAGGACAATTGAGGTCATCATTACATGCTCATTGCTCCTGTAGCCTTCTCTTTTAATTAGTTTTCCCAAGGTTTGACACTGGTCTGTAGTTTTTCAAGACATCTGGAAAATGATCTTCATCGATTGGGGATAACTGGTGTGATGTAAAAAAATAATTGTGGCTTATGATACCAGGGAAATATAGGTGTCAGCTAAACCCTCGATTTTATGTTTAAATACATTGTATTTATCATAAATATCATATCATATATATATACAGTTACACTGTGTAGTGTTATCCTTTATTAAATAATTGTGGACACTGGCTGATAATCAGTGAAGGCAGAATCGTGGATTATACCTGATAACTACTGGTGGTGTTATGGCTATTAGAGGGTTGTTAGAGGACTGGGCTATTACCGTAACAGCTGGCTACTAACCTGGTGTTAGAGGGTTGTTAAGATTTTTGGGAGCACAGATACTTAATAGTAATATATCTTGTCTGGATGTTTGAACTTTTCGATTTGTATCTCGAAAGTTATGTTTAACTTCCCCACGCAGTGTTTTAAATGTATGATATTGAAAGATGTATAATGTCATTATTTTATAGCTCCTCAAAGGATATTGTTCTTATCCACGTAGGAATCAAGTGCTCATTTTGATTGAGGTGGCAATTTGAAGTTGCAGCCCAAGATTTTATTGATTTTAATGTGGTCTATTCTTGATAAAAATATATTGCGCTACTCTTCGTTTAAACTACTTTAGCTTTAAACTGTTTAGGAGATGATTTGAAGCGGTGCTACAATCTACAGTGGTCGGTGGACAAGTGTGATGGACACCAGAGCCAGATGCTTTAGTTCACACTATGACTGTGACTGATGTACCTCTGCAACAAACTGACTGTCTTACTTGTAACCTGGTTAGTTAATATTAGTTATTCTTAATTGTGTACCTTCAAGCTTTCCTCCACAATTACAACCAACTTAGAAGCAATGATTTATTGTCAGTATTTTTTATTATTGAACAGACTGAGCCTTGTGCTCGTATTACCTTAGGGCCAATAAATTTGGTTGACAATAAATTTGGTCACCATAATTTTGAAAATTTTTAGTCTACAACAATTTTAGTCACATTTTTCGACTTTTTGAAACCATTTTCCATTCCATTTATTTGATTTTTCCATTATTCACAATTAAGAATGATTTCACAAACGTCGTAAGCATTACTTTAAAGTACAGGGGATCTTCGATATTATGCAGGTTTGGTGGGATTAAATTCTAAAATCAAGGTCTTATAACTCGATAACACGTTGCCATGGCCCCATAGCAACCACAATCAGTGCCCTAGCAACCGAGGCAAATTTGGTTGATTTACCTAACTAATCCTTGGTACTGTTTCACAATTTTAATCATCGTCAATTCACTAGCTCACTGTTTATGCAGGTCTTTCCAAAGTAAATTCCAAGGAAAAAGTTATGGTTTGGTGTGCCATCAGCCATATAGGACCATGGAATAAATTGCCCATATTTCTTCGAGAAAAACATAACTCAAAATTAGCCATTAAACCTTAGAACTACCAATAACTTTTCACAAAATCAAGTTTAGACAAGTCATTTGTCTAAACTGCAGTTTACTTTTGTAGTAGCTGATCCTAGTCGGCAATCCTAGTGGATAAAGAGTTATTCAAAAGTACATCCTTGCAATATTTTTGAACACCCTGTAGTCTGTACGCTCCGAAATCTGATTTAATACTTCAACTCTGATATCATCTAGTGCAATGCGATATGCTAATATTTGATTGTAGGAGACTCTCACTTCGTCCCCAAAAATGAAATATGATGGACCCACTCACAAGAGCGAAAAAAGATACACATTACTGTAATGTTTATAAAACACTTTTATGTGCTCGTGCAATGTGTTTATTTTCAAAAACTGTAACATCGCTCAATCAAAGCCTTATCAGCACAACACGCACAATCACATAATATATCATCAACTTGATCTCAGCGCATCATAATAACAACCACTCACAAGGACTGTTACCGCTCACTTCAGACACACACACACACACCCACTACACAGTACCACACACAGCCTGCACAGAGCTCAGCAATCAATTCTAAACGGCTAGCTGATTTTGATAAAATAACATCGTGATCCGGCGTGATCAATTATTTTAATTGAAGTACAACGGCTGCACCCCTGACTTTTTAACTAAAGATAAGAGACGTATATATTAGGACATTTGTAATCTGATAAAATTTAAAGTTTTGGTGTGTGAATTAAAGCTTGGTGTGAGAATTAGTGTGGAAATAAAAGAGATATTTATTTTATTACCTATATCATATATCTTAATTAAGTGACAGTATTATTATTTTAACTACAGATTATATTATTTCAGTTAGTATCGACATGAATGTTACGATTGCAGTTTTATTTATTTTTATATTATATTGTATTCAATAAACCGGTTTCAAAGCCCTTTAGTGTGGCCCTCGGGTCTTTAAAACATAATAGGTGAGGTCACGTGGTACCGACATGCTTCAGAGGACAGAAAGAGACTCAGAATTTTAACCACAAGTCTAGATTCTTTTCATAAATATAGACTTGTGGTTACAATTCTGAGTGTTTCATACTATTATATCACAGAATTATCCTGCTGTTGAAATATTGACAGAAAGGAAAGGTGTTTAGAAGTCGAATTGCTACAACTTCAGAATTCAGATTGCATAACAATTGTATAACTTCAGATTGGAGGACGGTCTAGGGAAGGATAAAGGAATTAAGCTTACTTCACAGCTATACTCTACAAAAGTACCTTCAGCGAATAAGACGTCAACATCCATCTTGTTTATATCAATGATTGTGGACATTACTTTTGTATTCTTTGTAATTTAATTCTCTGACGTTGTATTCTCTTAATACATTGCGTTTGCTAAAATTCTTGTGTGTAAGCTTTAGAACTCTAGATGTCAAACACAGATTTACGGCCAAGTGTCAACCCGGGGTTTGAAGCACGTTATACCAGTTTCAACTTTTATCAGACTGATCCATCGATTTCAGCTATGACATTTTTAGTTCTGATTAAACAAATGGTTTTTATTACATTGTTAATTACATTAAAATACAGTTTGATGTTTAAAACGGGGCATATGAAAGTTTTTTATCTTGTAAAACCTCGCCTAATCGACGAAGTTACAGTCAGATCGAAAATTAGAAATAGCTTATTTTTTAAAGCAGCTGAAAGTGCTATTTTCAGAACCTGGTGGATATTAGTCTAAAGATTCGTTGGAATTTATTACACTGACCATGACATAAGATCCAAATTCCAAACTGGGTGTTAGGGAAATGCGGCGGACTAAATCACTAAATGTTATTTTACATCTTCCCCGTCACTGATCACTGTCACATTTAAAGCTGCAAATGGTGTATTTGTTATGCCAACTAACACCAGAACAAACAGAGAACTTGTTAAAGTTCAAATTTAGCCCCGTAAAACTCAATGTATGTTATGTAACGGCTAATGTAATGTTCTTACAGGATCGTTGACATATTACGTAATCACGTCCTGAACAACGTTTAATTTGACCCCCCCCCCCCCCCCTCTCGGTGATTCCGTATTATGTGAACGACCGCTAATATGCTTACATCGAGGTAGTGCTTACTGATTTATAGCAACATTTATCATAGCAGCTTGTTTTTAAATCACTGTTTCTTATGATACAAGTTTCGTTACCATTCGTATCACACATAGTAATAAATTACGTATAGTAGTATTACTCGTCGGGAAAAACCCTGGTTCTTTTTGTAGTAATTGTGCGGAACGCGCTTGCGCCGAATCAAAAATATGTGTGAAAGTTTTTCTTGCGCGCATTTACTGTGACATAATGTGTCACGTGACAATCTGAAACTTTGAATAGTCATAACACCAAGAGATAGGCAACAGAGGTAAATCTGGCTACGTAATATCGTCAAGTAGGTATCTAGGAGTTTTGTGAATATTTTGAAATCAAATTCGAGCGGGTATTTTGTGATTTAGCGAGGTGCGCGGAAAAAAGCAAATAACCGTCAGCACATGGCTATACAGCCTCCATAGTGGCATCTGAGATCGGCTATCGATGCGGCACTACTTACTAGTCCTTTAAACGATCATCCCAGGAGCCTAGGGGCTCCAGCAGAAGAGTGCCTTATTTGCCCGTAAGAGCCTCTACTATTAGCAGCGAGTGTGTCAAACGGACGGTCACTCGCGCCGCGCGCAATGCAACAACGACTAATTGCAAATTATATTTCATTATCAATTTAAACTTTAGTTTTCCAAATTTGGCAATAATTGTCATTGAAAAATACAAGTGGTCATTTCATAAACGATTAAATTTTTATTTAATGGATCCACTGTTCGTAATTAATGATTGACGGTAGTTTATTTTATTTGCTCATGACAAATACAAAATATACCGTTCAGTGTTGATAATTATGGTATTGGTATGATTAATATATAAGTATAATTCTTACGCTACACTAGTATATGGTATGCTTAATAGAGTTTTGGTCATTAACATTGGTTGGAGAAAAAATTGAAATAAGACATTACATTAGAAATTTTTTTAAAAATGTTATGTAATTCTAGTCAAGTAGTCAAGCCGCGCATCCAAGCTTTATCCAAATTGCAAACTTTGTAAACGTTTGCGGAGTAAATATTTTCGTTTTGAGAATTAAAACTGAGTTTAAGGTTACTTGTTATTGAGTCATGCAATGCACGTAAGCTGGTATCTTTAATTGTTGAATTGTAATCGATTACCGCTGGCACTCGCTGACTTTAAAATGTTCAACCAACCCGCAAGTAGCAACCAGAGAATAGAGGTAAGACCTTTCGTCTAGACACTTGATGATATTTGTTGTAGCTATCTCGTTTGATAAGTGATAATAATGGGAATAATAATCTTTTATTCACCGAATAATTTTTGCAGTGAAGACAGGGTAACTACTCAATTACTATTTTTGTCCAGGTGAATTGATCTGAAAAACAATGCCGTCCAGAATGCAGCATTCCTAAAATATGGTTGCTAAAATATGGACTTATAATCTACGGCAGTGGTAAGGGCTCCTAATTTGCTTGAAACATGACCCGTTCAAATCAAAATAGAAGTCTGCTGTGTAATTATACTATATATCAATGATAAATATTTGTCAGAATGTGATGAAGAGTATAAGTGGAAATGTTTTCTTCTCAAGATGAACTACTATACATTCTGACGTTATGGGATAATAACACAACAGTCCTGTTCGCTCTCTCCGATCCCTTTTGCTAGGTGAGTTAGTTTGTAATCTAAGTACAGAGTATTAAATTTTGGGCAATTGTACTAGAAACTAGTCGAAAGCATTCAAAATGTAAAATCAGCTATAATATCCATGTAATCAAATTGAGGAAGCATAAGAGCGTTTACAAACATTTTTCTATATTTCAGTGGAAGTATGTAGTTTTTTAAAACCTAGATTATAATAATGCTCCTATTCTCCTAGTAACATGATCTTACATAATCAATATTATATGGTCCTGAAAGTTTAACAGGTTGTCTATTACCAGACCTAGGTATTTCTGGGATTTATGTGAAGACTGCCATGTTCCAAATCAAGAGGGATCGACAGTCCATCAAGATTAGGACATTTGTCGAATACTATGAATGAGGATTTTGAAACATTTAATCTCAGCTTGTTAATTCTAAGCCATTCATATAAAATCTTTATACTACTTCTACTACATTGTCAGACGAGCCTCAAGTGATATTATCAAAATATAGTGCACTGTCATCTGCAAATAAACAAGCAGTAGACTGTTCTGCTAATCTATTGTTATGTAGTAAATGGACATACATTTTCAAAATTGAAACATGAGATCACAACTCAATATAGGATGATAATCTATTTGATGAATATATAATAGCATTAAACTTTCCCTTGATAACAAATAAAATAGTCAGATTTTCGTTTTACAGGATATTCAAGTAACAGTTCATCATTCATATGCAATGATTGATCAATACCGAAATATATAAACTTACTCTTTGTTAGCCTTTTTACGTGTATTTCTTGAAGGTTTTAATGGCTTCTATCTCTTAGAGTCTTAGGTTGAGTTAGGTGGGCCTGATCTGTCTTTGGCAGACACAATAAGCATAGCTAAGCACACCTTTCTTTGAGAATTTACATCTCCCGCCACATCTGTTGTCGATATCTTTGTTCTTACAGAAACATGTGACCAACATGAACATATTGGACTGGTCTTTGACGAAAGACCGGTAATCTTGGGATGTGTCCCCTTTACAATAGAGTGCGATGTTGGTGGCAAGTCAAATATATAATCAATATTACTATATTGATAGGCTCTCAACATGTCAAATGTGACAAACTCTGTTGTAAGCTTTAAAAACTTTCACCAAGTATTCCTCAAATTTCTTGATCTGAGCTTCATTTAGTTCTACTCAAAGCCTTCAAGGTACATTTCCGGAATCGCCTTTAAGGCTGACAATTTGGTACCTATTCTTGACTGAGTTTCACACCCAGTGCCAATTTGGGCTGCGAGTAACACTTTCATCAATGGTCGTGGCATCCTACGTTATAACTTATACCGATCAGTTGTTTTAAAGTGCAAAAGTCAGAACTTTCTCTATAAGTTTTTTATCGGAGTTATTGCTAGTACATAGTGCTTGTAATGTATAATGTATATTGTGCTTGTATACATGGGTAAAAATGGGGTCTGACCTAATAACTCGTACACCTGAAGTCTGTAGACATTAAAATCGTGCTCTACCCACTCAATGTGATGATTTTGACCATTTTTATGGCCAAGATGAGCGCTTAGCTATCATCAGAAGCTGAGATATCTTGTAATAAGTAAATTAACTACTACTCGCAAGAGCCTAAAATTACATTTTGACCTTATAACTCCACAACCTAAGGTCTGCAGACTTTAAAACCATGATCTACCCCACTCAATGTGATGATTCTGACCATTTGTATGCCAAAGATGAGCCCTTAGCTCCCATTAGAAGCTGAGATATCTTGTAATAAGTACATACATTTCGGCTCGCGAGAGCCTAAAGTTACGTTTTGACCTAATAATTCAACAACCTGAAGTCTGTAGACTTTAAAACCATGATCTACCCCACTCAATGTGATGATTCTGACCATTTGTATGCCAAAGATGAGCCCTTAGCTCCCATTAGAAGCTGAGATATCTTGTAATAAGTACATAAATTTCGGCTCGCGAGAGCCTTAAGTTACGTTTTGACCTAATAGTTCAACAACCTGAAGTCTGTAGACTTTAAAACCATGATTTACCCCACTCGATGTGATGATTCTGACCATTTGTATGCCAAAGATGAGCCCTTTACTCCCATCAGAAGCTGAGATCATATCATGAAATAAGTGTGATAATTGTTACTCGCGAGAGCGTACGCGTAGAAGGGCGTGGTCACATAACTCATCAACCTTAAGCGTGAGGACTTTGAAACCAGGTTCTACCCCCTAAATGTGATGATTCTGGTCATTTTCATACCCATTTTGCATTGATCTCCTTTCTCCAATCAGAAATTGAGATATGTGGGTTTATATATCGCGAAAGTGCCAAAAAAGGCGTGGTCAATTGCGCAAAACTGCCTCATATTCAGAAAGCCTCGTATTCAGAAAGTCTACCCAAGCCAAATTTGTTCCTTGGGGCCGTTCCAGGTCTCGAACCTCGGGGCGGAAGAATATTCTCAACTCCTTGATTATTCCTAAATCCAAACTGATGGTTGGTGAGCAGGAGAGTGAGAATTAACCCACATATCAGGGACACGAATGACTACTCCAGGATTTAAGAAACTAAACTTTCAACACTGAAAACATTCAGATTCTTGCCAAATATATTTCGATTGTAGTCATCTCCAGTGACATTGAACCTAAAAAATGTTAAAAGGTTAGTGAAACTAAGAATCCGAAAAAGGTAAAAAGATCATATTAAGGTTTATGGAATATAGGTAATCCAAAGGGATTGACAGTATTAAGGCCAAAAGGTCTAAGAGAATTAAGCAAATGTATGTAGTTATTTTCTTTTACTTCAAGTGTACTGGGACTGCAATTCTCTAAAATAAAAGTTATAAAAGTTTCATTAAAATCTGTATGTATAATGTACTCCTAAACCGTAGTCAATCAAGTGAACTCCTAGGCTATACTCATCACTAGTAATATCAAATGTTCTACCATCAATGATTTCATAAAATTTGGACCTGTGTCCGTCCATCCTTTTATGCAAGCTATTAATAGTCCTACCCACATAGTTTTTCTTACAAATCGAACACTGTACAAGATAGATGATGTTATAGGTCTTGCAACAACCAGGGGCTGATTTGATCTTTTTGCCATTTGATGTGATGGAGTCCTTACTCATGATCATTTTACAACACTTGCAGTTTCTTCTGTGACAGGGTTCAGTTTTACCATGTTTAGCACCTAAGGCAAGCTGTTTAGATGTAACGAGGCGAGATCTAAGCGTAGATCCCGTTTTCTTCACAAACTGAAACAGTCTATTTTTTCCTTTCGGTGCTGTGGTGGAGTTTGTGGCTTGCTGACTCTCACTTTCACTAAAACTACGAGTTCGTCTCAAGTGACCTTCGTATTTCTGGACAACATTCACCAAGTCATTGTCACTTCCATAACTGGTTGGTGAGCAGTTTATTTGTTTCAATGTTCTCGGTAAGCTGTTGGTTAACAAAGTATTCTATACATTTCCCAAGTAAGGGGAGTATGGAATATGGATATTGGTCGATAAGTATTTGGATCATTAGGGTCCCCGTTCTACTCGCCATGTTCACTAAAAGTAACCAGTTTTTATGTACCTAGTTCGCACCATGCCATGGTCACTAAAAGTTACCAGTTTTGGTGTACTTTACTTGTCATTTTCACCCCAAAGTTACCTATTTGGTTACCAGTTTTAGTGTAGCTTACTCGCTAATTTCACCAGAAGTTACCAGTTTTGAGGTATCTCATTCGCCATATCTAACAAAATTTCCCAATTTTAATGTACTTTACTCGCCATGTTCACCAAAAGTTACCATTTTCCATGTACCTTACTCATCATGTTCACCAAAAATTGCCTGTTTGATGTTACTTGCTGATTTCACCACATTATGAAGTTCAGAAAGAAATATTATTCCTCAATTAACACTATATCTCACTAGGGTGGAGACGTGACTGTAGTAGTTATGATGCGGAACAAGGAACGAGACTACGAGAGGGAGAAGAGGAGGGCCCCGTTGATATGGTGAGCCTGAACCACATGACCCACCATGCCACTCTCTCCCTCGAAAGATGGTCACCAGTACTTTCCCAACCAGCCCGCCCCTCTGATAAGCAGCAGTGTGTGAGAGAACGGAGCGCCAGTACTCAGTCTGTGGAGGCCATGCACATGGTCTGTGACGAAGAGGAACCTGTGACCAGGCAACCAGAACAACATGTTGCCCGGCAACCATAACAAAGACCCTCTGAACAACCTGCCCGGCCCGCTTGGACAGAGCAGGTAACTGCCCTTGTTAAATAACACTTTTGCGGGTTTATATCAGGGGGGGGGGGGGGGGGGGGTACCAATGGCATAAAATGGCATACGTTTTATGGCATAAATGGAAATTTTTATTGTCCAATTCTCCATTATGCAATTTATGTCATTGGTACCCCCCCCCCCCCCCCCGAAATATCCCCTCAGAGATATTTCGGTTTTTTACCATGTCAAACACGGGAGCTTTGAGCACTTTTAGGAGAATATTCATTTTCGTTCATTTCGGTTCATTCCATGAAACTGGGTAATTTTACGCGACTTTTGATGACTCGTGAGCCTAGCTTATAAGTATAACTATATCCATCTTAGAAAATCGAATGGAGGCTTAACCCAATTCCCAGCACTTAAATACAGCAAACACTTCGATGTCCCAATGTCCCAAATTCATGGAAACTGATGGATTTATCTTCTGAAACTAGCAAATTTCAAGATTTTCGTGTTGAAAAAAAATTTGTTTAGCCACACTTTGACAGAAAGGCTGGCGCGCGCACAATTTATAACTGCACACGCGTTCGCTTGGTTTATGAAGAGGATTTTGGAATATGTTTTGGTGGTGAAATAGGTAGTACCTGTCCTAAACCATCATAAAAATCAAGTTTCGACCTCTCAACCCACTCAAGCCATTCCCAGGGGCCACGCCCATCCCAAAATAGCTGAAATCCAGGTAAAATCAAGATTGAAAATCTTTACCCCCGTATGCGATTTATGTTCCGGGGTAAGGTGGCCCATGTTTTAGTATAAAATGGGTACTGACTATCCCAAACCATCAAAAAAACCAAGTTTACACCTCTCAAACCACTCAGGCCACTCCCAGGGGCCACGCCCATCCCAAAATAGCTGAAATCCAGGATTAAAAATCTTTACCCCCGTATGCGATTTATGTTCCGGGGTAGGTGGCCCATGTTTTAGTATAAAAATGGGTACTGCCTATCCCAAACCATCATAAAAACCAAGTTTCGGCCTCTCAAACCACTCAGGCCACTCCCAGGGGCCACGCCCATCCCAAAATAGCTGAAATCCAGGTCAAATCCTGTCTGAGAATCTTTACCCCCGCGCCGTATGCGATTTATGTTCCGGGGTAGGTGGCCCATATTTTAGTATAAAAATGGGTACTGCCTATCCCAAACCATCATAAAAACCAAGTTTCCACCTCTCAAACCACTCAGGCCACGCCCACCCCAAAATAGCTGAAATCCATGTCAAATCCCATACAAATCCAGACTGAGAATCTTTACCCCCGTATGCGATTTATGTTCCGGGGTAGGTGGTCCATGTTTTAGTATAAAAATGGGTACTGCCTATCCCAAACCATTAAAAAACCAAGTTTCGACCTATCAAACCACTCAGGCCACTCCCAGGGGCCACGCCCATCCCAAAATAGCTGAAATCCAGGCCAAATCCCATACAAATCCAGACTGAGAATCTTTACCCCCGTATGCGATTTATGTTCCAGGGTAGGTGGCCCATGTTTTAGCATAAAAATGGGTACTGCCTATCCGAAACCATCATAAAAATCAAGTTTCGACCTCCCAACCCACTCAGGCCACTCTCAGGGGCCACGCCCATCCCAAAATTACTGAAATCCAGGTAAAATCCAGACCGAGAATCTTTACCCCTGTGATGCTTTTTGTTCCGGAGTAGGTGGCACATGTTTTAGTGTTTAAATAGGTAGTACTTGTCCCAAACCATCATAAAAATTAAGTTTCGACTTCTCAACCCACTCAGGCCACTCCTAGGGGCCACGCCCATCCCAAAATTACTGAAATTCAGGTAAAATCCAGACCGAGAATCTTTACCCATTGTAGTGATTTTATGTTCCGGGGTAGGTGGAACTCAGGCCATATCCATTCTAAAATTACTGAATTCAAGGTGAAATGAAAATAGCTAAAATCTGGAAACCCCTACCCCTGTAATCGTTTTTATATGAGACTTTTTAAGACAATTCAATTTCTTTCAGATTGGGAGTTGCAGTGAAGTTCTGCCAAAGATTTTCTACGATGAGATAAGAATACCTAGACCTTACCTCTCGAACAATTCTCTGATATCAGATCAAAATGTTAATTTGTTTTTATGTGAGATTAGAACCTTAAATTAAAATGTTTTATTTTTCAAAGAAAATGAAAATTTGCCCTCACTCCTAATTTCCTTGTTTCACTTGTCCTTGTCTCTTCCAACCGGATATTATCCAACTATGAGTACAAAATGACTTGAACTTACTATTAACAAAATGATACCTCCACATGGTTGTTCTAACAAGTCATCCTACGGTTAGCCATTTTTATTGTATTACCACTAAAAAGTTGTTTAAATACTTGTTTCGGATAAAAAATGTGAATATGGGTCTGGGTCGGTTTCGAACTCGATTCGAGTCTCGGGTGATCATGTGAAGACATTACGCTTAGCGAACTTAGCTGTTAATTAGATACTCAAGGTACAATTTTAACTATCAAATTGACGTGCTCGCGCACTCCCTGCGCAAAGTTATTCTTCGACAGTACACATTTTTAGCCATTTTGGGGCGATTGCGCGGCACGAAAGCTTTAAACCTTCATAACTCTACCCAGGAACAGTCCCTAGAACTGATTAAGGTTGTGATCTCCGAGTCTGAGTGTGTACTTTAAGATGATATATGATTTGTCATACCTGCGTCCACACAGGAGAATCACAAATGGGTATAGTCGCGAACGCAAAGAAACCGCAGGGTGTCAAAATCCAATCTCATCGCACTTTTTTTAGAATCTTGATAGGGGTAGCCAACATTTGTTTCATTTTTCATGGGCAATGATTATGAACATTGAGCACACTCCCTATACTATTATGTATTACTAAGGGAGGGGGCCGGGGGGTAAAATTGGCCAAAATCTTGCTGACGTCATATGTGAATGCTCCCTAATCGCATGAAAAACAAATATATAAAACCCGATAATTAAGCTACTAAATGTAAAGATAGTGACCTGTGTATTTATCGTACTGGATGTTTGCCAAACATTCCCCCGGTTTTCTGGATTTATTCACTTCAAATAAAATGTCCAGATCTCTATTTGGCATTGGGTATCGGGGACCAGCTGACGCTGACCTAGAGGATGCGTTGCCATTGGTTACTGATTGCTTAGCACTGTTCCCGGCCCCGGACTTGGAAGAAGTTCTGAGGTATGATCTGTCGTAGTGAAACTGATATTCTGAAGGCTCACAAGGGTGCCTCATTTTGTTAAATGTTAAAAGCACAACTGAAGCAAAAATACGATATTCGATTTTTAAGCAACTGACTTTAACAACAGCAAAGCAACCTCTCACAGTCCCACACTTGTAACCGTAGAAGTATAGCTCGGTGACACAAACTAAAATGTGATTAGGTTACCCTGGCAACGGTGTAGCATGTTAGCATATTAATATGATTATTAAGTTATTGATATGATGTATTAAGCTAAATCTTTCTGTTCTGAAATTGTACCTTTAGCTGTGATACAAATACAATCTGGGATGGGAGGCACTTTAAGGCAGGGGTTAAAGAGGCAAGGAGACACTTCTGCCAACCGTTTTCAAATATAAACTTCCTTGGTTTCCTTACTGGGCGGCGCTCAGCCTGTCAAACCGCCAAATCTCTATTCGATTATGAACATAAATATTATAGCCTGGGGTCCCCAGGTAATGGTTTCCTGGACCAAAACTTCACTGTTCACTGTTTTGTGAATTTTGTCCAGCGACCAATAAATGAGGATGGTAAAAGACTATACTGAGGTACAGGAAGCCTGGTTCCTGGAGAAAGCTTCCGAAGAAAGCCAAGCAAATAAACAATCACCGAGGCACTAAGCAGGGGAAGCAAGGAGGTAGAGAATCATACATTATATTAATCATTAAAACACACCATTTGAATATTTGCATTATTAGAAATAAACATAATTATAAAGTTATAACTAGGTACTATATACCTATGTCCTATAGTATATAAATCGTGTTTCAGTAGCCAGTAGCTCAGTCCTAACGGCTAACAACTCAACTCAAGCTCTGATTCAGTAGACAAGCAACAGGACAGTTAGACGAAACTTGTTCTCCAGCCACCATTTCATTAGGTATAAAAGAGAATGAATTCCCACAGGTCATTTTGTAGAACGCGAACCGATTTACTTTAACGTATCTATCAAAGCACTCCCCTTTCAACGGATTTGTATACATCACTTCTCCACCCATCCGTATCTGGACCACACCCCCAGCAAGAGAGAAGGTCCACGGCTCCTCAAGTCCGCCTTTGATCCTCGCCTCTTTCAGAGCTGGAGGTGTTTGGCACCTCACACACCCCGACAAATATATCCCTTTCACGTTCCACTGAAACTGACCAAGCTGCTCCCCCTCCTCGTTATAGAGAATAACTGTATCTAGTTCCTTTCTTCTTCTCCCTGGTGTGGAGTGGACCTCAATTCCGTTGTTGGAGTTGAAGAGGTCTTGTTTGACGGTACAATCGATACTGGAACAATACCCACACTCAGCAGTCCAACAGTTACAGGTCGGGTATTGGTCTGCGGGAGTGTGAGTTTAATCTTAACGTTAAGAAACACTTATTAATATCAGTACTACTTATTTTCATCAGTCACCTGGTCTACTGACAGTAGACCAGGTGACTGATGAAAATAAGTTTATTAATTAAAGTGATGATAACAGTTACAGATCTGTCATCTGCCCGGTGCCACAAAAGTTCTGATACTTGTATAAAGACTAAGGGGTCGTTCACATCTTACGTAATCATTGAGGCGTGGTGGGAGGGGGTTTCTAAATAAAAACGCTTGTGTAGTTTCAACATAGTAGCTATGTGTAAAGCTGATTACGGAGGGGGATGGGGGTTAATAATTACCATAGGAGCAGTCATCCTCTGATGTTGATCCGACTGCAGATACTAATCCGTTCGGGCATGGTGTACATGCAGAATCTTCATTCCCACTAAAAGTATTTTCAGAGCATTGCTCACATCCTTTTTTTGTACTGAAGCTTCCAGCCTTGCACAAATTAGCTGCGATGTTCGATAGTTTAATATTTTGCTTAATATAAAATAGTCAACAATTTACTCAAAAACAAAGTACACTTACATTATCGCATAACTGCAACATTTAGACATTTCTCATGATATCCAATATACATGCAGCATTAAAGTTACAATTGTGAAATATTAGATTATAAAGTTTAGCCGGAGCCATCAGGGCCACTTTTATTCTTACCATCCTTTTTGCCTTTCCCTTTATTCTTTTTTCCTTTCTTTTTGCTCTTCTTTTTTTCTTTTTTGGTCCCTGTTACATTTACAATGTTACCAGCTTCAAACAAAGATAGAAATGATTAAAAAAAACTGAACGAATGAAGAATTTCATTGAAGACCCTAATACACTTAAAAATACTTCTCAAATTAAGTGAAAAGGAACCCTCAAATAGACGGTTAAATCATAAAATCATAAATACCATTTTCTTTTTCCCCTTTGTCTTTTTTCTTTCTTTCTTTCTTCTCTTTTTTCCCTTTTTTCTTTTTGTCCTTCATAGCCTTTTTCTTGGCCTTCTTTGATAAATCGTCAATATCTTCTTCGCCTTTTCTCGGAATATTGATAATAATTATCTAAAATCAATACAACTAGTTGCAATAAAGAGCTATTTAATCATTCTTCTTCAATTCTCAGCTTTCAATACTACTTATGTCCTTATGCTTTTATTTCATGTTTTTCAAATGATTGTAGTATTTATAATATAAATTTTGTACTGCAACTGGTATGAGGCATGAAACAAATTTCCAGACATCAACTTTTAAACCTTCTTCCGTTTCTCCCTCCTGATCTACTTCAGAAACATCTTCCTCGTCATCTTCTGTCTCATCTGAGGGATGCACCTTCAAGTTCAAATACCAAGCTTATTTGACAACGGTTCCGTTCGTAAGATCACGTATATAAAAACGATTTGACCAGATGTGTTTCATTCGGCTCGATATAAAGTAATCGTAAATATTTTCACTATACGAAGCAACCTGAAAGAGAAAAATAATCATATTGTACGTCAAATAAAGAAATAAGAAGCAGTTATAGGATAGAATATGTAATTATGTGTAAAATAGAACTATACCACCGCCAGACATTATATAACTAAATTAGTGAGCTTGTAATACCGAGTATAACATTGTCTGGAAGAGGAGTGGAAGTATGAGCGTAGGTGAAGGAGGTGGAGTAGGTGGAGCTCGGCAGATGTTCAATATCAGCATGAGTTAGAGTTGTTAGAATTGTTGGAGGCGTGTACTCCTCTGAAAGACAAACTAATTTAATAAAGAGACAGAATAGAGACAGAGAGCTGACTGAGTAGATGCTTCACGGTAAACTTCTGGAGTTTACTGTCTCAGGCGGTATGATACTATCCATTCATTCGTAATTAAGAGAAAATATGTGGGTTTTAACCAGGTAGTCCATCTGTACGTAGCTAAGTTTTTGCACAACTTTTTCAAATTCGACAAAAAACTAATGTTATCAACAGGTATTAATTTAATGGGACTCTAGAAGTGTGAATTAACAACGACAAAAAAGATCCCCTTCTTATTTAGCCTGAGTAAAGATAACCAAATTAAACGTTTCATTGAACATAACACTGAAATAAAATAAGTGAACCTGTAGTTCCTGGTAGTAACAGCGACAGGGAAATTACCGACCAAATAAAAAACAACATGGTAATTGGTCACAGGCTAAGAGCAAAAGATCAATTTAACATTTTGTTCGGTCCGAGAATAATGAATAAAATCAATAGGCTGATCAACGTTTGCATAAAAATAAAATGATACGCTGAAACATTAATCCGATTTACATTTCTGATGCAGTTCTGTGTCGCCTCTTTGGTCTCATTAGATCAGAAACTCTTCCGGAATCTTTGCACCTTGACGTTTCATTTCATTCGTCTATTTCTAGGCCCTAAAATCGGACATAATATTGTTGGCTATTATATATTGTATGGGATAACTGGGGATTCATATATAAACGTTTGTAAGTTTTCAATTTTAGGCAATGAAAATCGAATTTAGCAGGGACATAAAATTAGTCTAACGCTGACGAGGAGACAAAATACATATGTCTTGTTCCAATGCTTTTTATTGCAGGCTCGGAATATATTCAACATTGCCATTATTTATCACAAAAAGCCCGCTAGCTGGTCATAATCAGTTATGTTCTAATTTCTCTTAATCATCTAGTTCTGAACTATGTAGTGTAAACAGTTATATGGATTTTATTTGACAATGACAACAGCTTTGACTGAATTTCTCACCTGCAACCAATTAGTTAGTATTAAATATAGACCCCATTTGACATGATCGAGGTGCTGGAGGTTTGATTTCGGTCAGAGGAAGATCACAGCAGAAAGCTAAAGAAAAAAAAATTAAAATTCGTATTTTCCAATTTCTGTCCCACTTTTAAATATGAAAATTTCTGGACACACATTTGACAGATTGGATGAAATTTTTGCCCACAGACCAATAAGTCAGTTAATTGATGATGGTATGAAACCAAATTGGGGTACTGGAAGTCAAAATCTCTAAAAAAATTGGAAAATCATACTGTCCCATACTCTGTCCCATTTTCAGTTTTTGAAGCTGAAATTTCCAGGGCCGAAATTTTACAGTTTCGACCGAATTTCTGACCTGCAACCAATTAGTCAGTCAACTATAGATCCCAAATGACAGGATTGAGGTGTTAGAATTTCGATTCGGATCGGAGGAAGCTCACAGCAAAATTCTTAACAAAACGAAAAGTTGTATTTTCAAAACTCTGTCCCATTTTCAGATATGAAAATTTCTGAACACACATTTGACAGATTGGATGAAATTTTTGCCCACAGACCAATTAGTCAGTTAATTGATGATGGTATGAAACCAAATTGGGGTACTGGAAGTCAAAATCTCTAAAAAAATTGGAAATCATACTGTCCCATACTCTGTCCCATTTTCAATTTTTGAAGCTGAAATTTCCAGGGCCGAAATTTTACAGTTTCGACCGAATTTCTTACCTGCAACCAATTAGTCAGTCAACTATAGACCCCAAATGACACGATCGAGGCGCTGATAGTTTGATTCGGGTCGGAGGAAAATATGAAAATTTCTGAACACACATTTGACAAATTGGATGAAATGTTTGCCCACAGACCATTTAGTCAGTTAATTGATGATGGTATGAAACCAAATTGGGGTACTGAAGGTCAAAATCTCTAAAAAAATTGGAAAATCATACTGTCCCATACTCTGTCCCATTTTCAGTTTTTGAAGCTGAAATTTCCAGGGCTGAAATTTTACAGTTTCGACCGAATTTCTGACCTGCAACCAATTAGTCAGTCAACTATAGATCCCAAATGACAGGATTGAGGTGTTAGAATTTTGATTCGGATCGGAGGAAGCTCACAGCAGAAATCTTAACAAAACGAAAAGTTGTATTTTCAAAACTCCGTCCCATTTTCAGATATGAAAATTTCTAAACACACATTTGACAAATTGGATGAAATTTTTGCCCACAGACCAATTAGTCAGTTAATTGATGATGGTATGAAACCAAATTGGGGTACTGAAGGTCAAAATCTCTAAAAAAATTGGAAAATCATACTGTCCCATACTCTGTCCCATTTTCAGTTTTTGAAGCTGAAATTTCCAGGGCCGAAATTTTACAGTTTCGACCGAATTTCTGACCTGCAACCAATTAGTCAGTCAACTATAGATCCCAAATGACAGGATTGAGGTGTTAGAATTTTGATTCGGATCGGAGGAAGCTCACAGCAGAAATCTTAACAAAACGAAAAGTTGTATTTTCAAAACTCTGTCCCATTTTCAGATATTACAATTTCTGAACACACATTTGACAAATTGGATGAAATTTTTGCCCACAGACCAATTAGTCAGTTAATTGATGATGGTATGAAACCAAATTGGGGTACTGAAGGTCAAAATCTCTAAAAAAATTGGAAAATCATACTGTCCCATACTCTGTCCCATTTTCAGTTTTTGAAGCTGAAATTTCCAGGGCCGAAATTTTACAGTTTCGACCGAATTTCTGACCTGCAACCAATTAGTCAGTCAACTATAGATCCCAAATGACAGGATTGAGGTGTTAGAATTTTGATTCGGATCGGAGGAAGCTCACAGCAGAAATCTTAACAAAACGAAAAGTTGTATTTTCAAAACTCTGTCCCATTTTCAGATATTACAATTTCTGAACACACATTTGACAAATTGGATGAAATTTTTGCCCACAGACCAATTAGTCAGTAAATTGATGATGGTATGAAACCAAATTGGGGTACTGAAGGTCAAAATCTCTAAAAAAATTGGAAAATCATACTGTCCCCTCTGTCCCATTTTCAGTTTTTGAAGCTGAAATTTCCAGGGCTGAAATTTTACAGTTTCGACCGAATTTCTGACCTGCAACCAATTAGTCAGTCAACTATAGATCCCAAATGACAGGATTGAGGTGTTAGAATTTTGATTCGGATCGGAGGAAGCTCACAGCAGAAATCTTAACAAAACGAAAAGTTGTATTTTCAAAACTCTGTCCCATTTTCAGATATGAAAATTTCTGAACACACATTTGACAAATTGGATGAAATGTTTGCCCACAGACCATTTAGTCAGTTAATTGATGATGGTATGAAACCAAATTGGGGTACTGAAGGTCAAAATCTCTAAAAAAATTGGAAAATCATACTGTCCCATACTCTGTCCCATTTTCAGTTTTTGAAGCTGAAATTTCCAGGGCTGAAATTTTACAGTTTCGACCGAATTTCTGACCTGCAACCAATTAGTCAGTCAACTATAGATCCCAAATGACAGGATTGAGGTGTTAGAATTTTGATTCGGATCGGAGGAAGCTCACAGCAGAAATCTTAACAAAACGAAAAGTTGTATTTTCAAAACTCCGTCCCATTTTCAGATATGAAAATTTCTAACCACACATTTGACAAATTGGATGAAATTTTTGCCCACAGACCAATTAGTCAGTTAATTGATGATGGTATGAAACCAAATTGGGGTACTGAAGGTCAAAATCTCTAAAAAAATTGGAAAATCATACTGTCCCATACTCTGTCCCATTTTCAGTTTTTGAAGCTGAAATTTCCAGGGCCGAAATTTTACAGTTTCGACCGAATTTCTGACCTGCAACCAATTAGTCAGTCAACTATAGATCCCAAATGACAGGATTGAGGTGTTAGAATTTTGATTCGGATCGGAGGAAGCTCACAGCAGAAATCTTAACAAAACGAAAAGTTGTATTTTCAAAACTCTGTCCCATTTTCAGATATTACAATTTCTGAACACACATTTGACAAATTGGATGAAATTTTTGCCCACAGACCAATAAGTCAGTTAATTGATGATTGTATGAAACCAAATTGGGGTACTGGAAGTCAAAATCTCGAAAAAATTGGAAAATCATACTGTCCCCTCTGTCCCATTTTCAGTTTTTGAAGCTGAAATTTCCAGGGCCGAAATTTTACAGTTTCGACCGAAATTCTGACCTGCAACCAATTAGTCAGTCATCTATAGTCCCCAAATGACACGATCGAGGCGCTGGAAGTTTGATTCAGGTCGGAGGAAACTCACAACAGAAATCATAACAAAACGAAAAATTTGTATTTTCAAAACTCTGTCCCATTTTCAGATATGAAAATTTCTGAACACACATTTGACAGATTGGATGAAATTTTTGCCCACAGACCAATTAGTCAGTTAATTGATGATGGTATGAAACCAAATTGGGGTAGTGGAAGTCAAAATCTCTAAAAAAATTGGAAAATCATACTGTCCCATACTCTGTCCCATTTTCAGTTTTTGAAGCTGAAATTTCCAGGGCTGAAATTTTACAGTTTCGACCGAATTTCTGACCTGCAACCAATTAGTCAGTCAACTATAGATCCCAAATGACAGGATTGAGGTGTTAGAATTTTGATTCGGATCGGAAGAAGCTCAAAGCAGAAATCTTAACAAAACGAAAAGTTGTATTTTCAAAACTCTGTCCCATTTTCAGATATGAAAATTTCTGAACACACATTTGACAGATTGGATGAAATTTTTGACCACAGACCAATTAGTCAGTTAATTGATGATGGTATGAAACCAAATTGGGGTACTGAAGGTCAAAATCTCTAAAAAAATTGGAAAATCATACTGTCCCATACTCTGTCCCATTTTCAGTTTTTGAAGCTGAAATTTCCAGGGCCGAAATTTTACAGTTTCGACCGAATTTCTGACCTGCAACCAATTAGTCAGTCAACTATAGACCCCAAATGACACGATCGAGGCGCTGATAGTTTGATTCGTGTCGGAGGAAGCTCACAGCAGAAATCTTAACAAAACGAAAAGTTGTACTTTCAAAACTCTGTCCCATTTTCAGATATGAAAATTTCTGAACACACATTTGACAAATTCGATGAAATTTTTGCCCACAGACCAATAAGTCAGTTAATTGATGATTGTATGAAACCAAATTGGGGTACTGGAAGTCAAAATCTCGAAAAAATTGGAAAATCATACTGTCCCATACTCTGTCCCATTTTCAGTTTTTGAAGCTGAAATTTCCAGGGCCGAAATTTTACAGTTTCGACCGAATTTCTGACCTGCAACCAATTAGTCAGTCATCTATAGTCCCCAAATGACACGATCGAGGCGCTGGAAGTTTGATTCAGGTCGGAGGAAACTCACAACAGAAATCATAACAAAACGAAAAATTTGTATTTTCAAAACTCTGTCCCATTTTCAGATATGAAAATTTCTGAACACACATTTGACAGATTGGATGAAATTTTTGCCCACAGACCAATTAGTCA